TAAAAAAAATTTTTTTGGTAAGGCAGCTACTGAAATATAATTCACATGTAACTGCTTTATTGAGATATAATTTACGCATTTAAAAGGACCATTTCAATAGTAGTATATCTTATATAGTGCAATCATCACAATTAACTTTAGAACATTTTGTAACATTGAGAACAAATGACAAGCTTTATACAAGTGCCCTGTGCTCCACTTCCCAAGCTCCCCATTCCAGAATCTCTAAACCAAGAAATATTTGATCTCAGAAAGATACTGCATGATTTATTCTTTTATCCACTTTTGGGCTGTGTCTACCTTTTGACTAATTGTGAACAATATTTCTGTCTACATGCCATCTATCCTGTAGGTTTCATATAAGTGGAATCATAAAACAGGTTTCTGTGTGGCAAGTTTTCTCACTTAGCATAATACTTTCATAGTTCATTCATGTCCTGACCTATGTCAGTGCATAATTCCTTCTGGTTGACAAAAAGAAATTGAGCTCATGGAAATACTGCATGTTTTATCCATTCATCTACTTTTAGGCTGTTTCTACCTTTTGGATATTTGATGAAGGTATTACTTGCATACAACTTTTTATTTATCTTCAATATATGTCTAGGAGCAAGCAGAGCCTGGCAAGCTACCCGTGGCATATTCGACATGCCAAAAACAGTAACAATAATGGGTCTCATTCCCCTGACCCTGAAAGAGCCTCCAATATGGCAGCGTTGGGAAGGACGAGTAAGGAGAGGCTGCTAAAATCTCAGGGCTGGGACGAATGGAGACATTACTGGTGCCCAACAGAGTAAATCTATGAACAACGGGATGACAGTGATGATATGTCTAGGAGTGGAATTACTACGAAATTAAAATGATAATGCTATGTTGACTTTTTTGAGGAACTGTCATATTTCCCCTAAAGTCCTTGCTTTATTTATTTCTTTTAAGCCGACCTGAGATCAAATGGCTCTGAATTATTCTGAACGGGCTTAATAGCAATTAGCTCCACTTAATCAGCTATAGGTAAGGACTCAGTGGCAAAACTTCGTGTTTGGAGATGCAAAGAAACAAAATTTGGATTTCAAAACCCAAAACTCAAGAAATTTTATTTATTTATTTATTGCTTTTTGGGTCACACCCGGTGATGCGCAGGGGTTACTTCTGGCTCTGCGCTCAGAAATTACCCCTGGCAGTGCTCAGGGGTCCATATGGGATGCTGGGAATCAAACCCGGGTCGGCCGCGTGCAAGGCAAATGCCCTACCCGCTGTGCTATTGCTCCAACCCCTCAAGAATGTTTTTTGAGGGGCCGGGAAAGAATATAGTTTGCAGGGTGCTAATCTTGTGGGATTAAATCCCTGGCACCCCGTATGGTCTCCCAAGGCTTGCTAAGAATGATTCCTGAGCTCAGAGCCAGGAGCAAGACCTGAGCCTCCAAACCAAACAAACAAAAAAGTATTTTTTGATATAAATTTAAATGCTGGGGCAATATTACATGGACTTGCATTTATGACAACCAGAAAAAGAAGTTCACATTTATACATGTAGTCAATACAAAAAACTAAACCAAATAAAAAATAACTCCATACTAGAGTATAATACCTCTTTTTATCAGTTCAGAAACTATGCCTGGCAGTGTTCGTGATCACTTTCAGTTCTGTGCTTGAGATCTCGATCTCTCTCTCTCTCTCTCTCTCTCTCTCTCTCTCTCTCTCTCTCTCTCTGTGCTCAGAGGATCATATGGTGTCGGGGATCAAACCTGGGACTCCTCTGTTCAAAACCTGCACTCAGCCTGTTGAACTCTCCCTCCTGCTCAAGCACAATAATTCTTAAATGGCAGTGTTGGAAAACTGCCAACAGAAAAAATTCGCAAAGCTATTGGATAAAACAATGAGTTTTAATTATCTATAGACTTTAAAGAAAATTGAAATGAATCAAATATTTAGAAATACTCAGAGGTATTTGTGTGAAATATGGACAGAGAGGTACTCAAAGGGTAACTCCAAGGTTTTCATAAAAAGAACCTCATGCATGTGACTGGTATCACAGCAAGAAATAGATGATTATCAGCTTCCAAGACATCGTCCTTTCCAGTCATTAACCATCCACAGGAAAGAGGATATCAGATGTCTAGTACTCACATTCCCTGACACAAAGAATACAGTTTTAATACTACGTTTCAGGTGTTGAGATGAGACCCATGTGGTTAAGAGATTTTAAACTCCAACTTTTGCTTCTGTTTTTGTTTTGGGGCTATATCTGAAGATGCTCAGGGGTTTCTCCTGGCTCTGCACTCAGGAATTACTCCTGGCGGTGCTCAGGGGACCCTATGGGTGCTGGGAATCGAACCTGGGTCGGCCCTGTGCAAGGCAAATGCCCTACCCGCTGTGCTATCGCTCCAGCCCCCTAAATCCTAGGAACTATTAATCACAAAGCCTTTAATAATTTAAAAAGGTGAATATGAAACAAACACATCACATTGACAATACATGACAATGATGAAATAAATAATGACCAAACTGAAAAGTCTTTGCAAGCACAACATAAAAAACTGATACACGTGCTGAAGAGATAGCACAGTGGGAAGGGCGTTTGTCTTGCACGCGCCCGACCCAGGTTCTATTCCCAGCATCCCATATGGTCCCCTGAGCACTGCCAGGGGTGACTCCTGAGTTCAGAGCCAGGAGTAACCCCTGTGCATCGCTGGGTGTGACCCAAAAATAGAAAAAAAAAGAACTACAATACATCATTCCTGGACAAAAATTTAAAAAAAAAACATAAAAAAAAACTGATACACTTGCCTAAGCTTATTGGGCAGGCTTTTGCTAAATATTCCCACCTTATTGATAATGTGCTTGCTACAGAAATGAACTTAACTTACGAACTTACTTATAATAATATTGCTTCTGGGAGCAATATATATATACACACACATAATACAACCTATGCATATATATTGTTTCACGTCCAAGAACACGTTCAACACAAAAGAAGTCTAAGACTGTTATTAGAGGATATTGTTTCTCAAGGGCAAATCATCTTATTTTGGTTGTTTGGCTTTTTTTTTTCCTTTTTTTTTTTCTGCTTTGGGAACATAACCTGGAGGTGCACAAAGGCTCCTCTGGTCTTGGAGATCATTCTCAGGGGATCCTGTGGGGCTGAAGTCTCCTGCAGGTAAAGCAATTGCTCCAGCCCTTAAGTCTTATTTATTTATTTATTTATTAAGCTACCCGTGATGTATTCGATAAGCCAAACACAGGAACAACAAGTCTCACAATGGAGATGTTACTGGTGCCCGCTGGAGAAAAATCGATGAACAATGGGAGGACAGTGACAGTGACATTTATTTGTTCATTTGTTTTTAAAGCCCTGTGTTTTTTATCAAGTGCCAAACTCAGATTAGGATTGAAGTAACTTTGTCTCTTTGGAAGTTTGGGATTCGGTGTTCTACCAGGTGATGCCTAATGCAAGCCCTGAGTCAAGGCCAGGAGGACGTCGTGGCCTGTAATAACTTTTCCCTCCAGCCTGGTCGTCGCAGGGTGTTTCTCTCGGGATGCTGCCTCTTTCCCACGGATCTGGCGCTCAGGCGCGTGTCCTCGGGTGCGGACAAAGCACGGCGGGTCGCGACCCCTCTCACCCGGCTTCCAACCAGGTGGCGGAGCAGTGACACTCTCAGAGTCTGGGACCCCCACCCAACACTCCGGCTTCACGCTGGGGGGGATTTCCCAAGGTCCCAGCGCCCGCGTGTTCGCCTTGCCCCTTTGCAATCTCCCGGAGACCCTCCTCCAGCACCTGCGCTCCCCAGTGGGGTGAAAGTCGGTCTCCCTCGGCCTTCTGGTTGCCAGGCTTCATCTCTGCGCTTAGCCAGGGGACCCTGCGGTCCTGAGCGCTCCCCGGTCCCACACTCCCCGCGAGCCTGCGTCGCCCTAAGCTCTGCCAGCGGGTTTCGGACCCTGGGACCACGCACCGCCTTGCTCAGAAGCACCGCTGAAGCTAGAAGGGGAGTTTACTTTAAAAATCGGGGCGGGTCGAAAGGAAAGAGACAAAGAAAGAAGGAAAGAAGAAAAATGTGTATGGGGGGGTGGGGTGGGATGGGGGGCGGGACCGGGGAGGTGGTGTGTTGGCGGGAGGGAAACTGGAGACGTTGGTGGTGGGAAATGTACACTGGTGATGGAACACTGTATCAGTGAAAGCCAATCACGAACAACTTTGAAACTGTGTATCTCACGATGATTTGATAATATATATATATATATAAAGACATTAGAATATGACCAACGTAAAACATGAAAATAAAAAATAAAATTGGTGCTGTAAAAACATGAAAATGAAACTCAGTAAAACATGAAAATGAAAAATGAAATTGGTGCTGGTCAAAAGGCGAGAGAGAGAGGGAGGAGGAGGAGGAGGAGGAGGAGGAGGAGGAGGAGGAGGAGGAGGAGGAGGAGGAGGAGGAGGAGGAGGAGGAGGAGGAGGAGGAGGAGGAGGAGGAGAAAAAGTACCTCCCATAAAGGGGGTGGCAGGTGGGGACATTGGAGGTGGGAAATGTACACTGGTGAAGGAAGGGGTAGTTTGCTGGAGCATTTTATATCTGAAACCCAATCATGAACAAAACACTTTGCCACTGTGTATCTCCCGGTGATCCCATTTCAAAAATGTTGCAAGAAATTAGAGGAAGACACTAATAAGACCTTATGAATCAATGGGGGGTAATGAAAGGACTCTGCATAAAAAAAAATAAAATTAAAAAAAAAATAAATAAACAACATCGGGGCCCGGGGGAAGACCTGCCCTGGACCCCAGGGAGGGGCGCGCGCTGGGTCCCCTCGCGGGACCGAGCCGAGGGGACGGGGGCACGCGCGCGCGTGTGGGTGGCGGCCAGGGCGCGCGGGGCGGGCGCACCGGCCGGGGCAGGTGGGTGGGAGCGGCCGGCGGGATCGGGCGGCGGCGGCGGCAGCAAGTGGTTGGGCCGCGCAACGCGCGTTTCCTTCCCTCCCCCGCCGCGGGCCGCCGGCCGTGCCCAGCGCGCGGCGCCCGCCGCTGGCCGCGCGTCCCCTGCCCGGCGGCCGCTCCCTTCCCCGCCGCTCCATGTCCCTGCCCGTGGTCCTCCCGGGCTCCTGCTGCCCGGTGGCGGGACTCTCGGGCGGGCCGCAGGCCGGGGCTCCGGGCACGGCGGGCGCCCGGCGCCCAGGAGCCGCCGCTGCCCCCGCTGCGGCCGCGCTGGCCCCGGGCAGGGGTGCAGCCCCCGGCGCGGCCTCGCTGCGCCGCTCCGGCCGCGGGCGCCGCCGTCCTGGCCGCGCCGCCCGCGCTCTCGTCCCGCCGGGCCGCCGCCGCCGCCTCCGGTGCGGCCGGAGTCGCGGCCCCGGGCTCGGCGCTGCTGCCCGCTCGCCCGCTGCTGTCGCTCGGGCTGCTGCAGCTGATCCTGGGGTGCTGCATGGTGGCGCTGAGTTTCGGGGCGCTGTCGCTGAGCAGCTCCCCGCAGGTGAAGAACTCGTGTCCCTTCTGGGCCGGCTCCTCGGTGAGTGCCGCGTGCCGCCGCGCGCGGGTCCCCCGCTGGCCTGGGCAGGGGCCACCGCTGGGCGAGGACCAGCCTGGGGCATTGATTGGGGTGGCTGGGGGTGTCTTGACCCGTCTCTAGGCGTGTGTGTCGGGGGAGGGGGGTAGTGCTGCGGCTTGGTGGGCATCGTCCAGCAGCAGGCCAGCGGGAGTTTTAGGAACGCGGGAGAAAGGGCCCCCGGAGAAAGTGGAGTTCAGGGTGAATTTGCTTTTGCATCTGGGCGGTGTCTATTCCTCGAAGGCGAAAGGAATTATGCGGGACCGGGGGTGGGGTGGGTTCGGGTGGGGGTAGGGGAGGGGTCATCTAGCTAATCGAATGAAGTCGCTTTCCAGGTCTTTGTGACTGTGGAGTTGAGAATGGGGGCGATGCTGGGGGTGGGGAGGGCAGGAGGAAAGTGGGAAGAAAAGAAACTTTTTTTTCCCTCCCCTCCAGGCTTTGTTCAGTATTTGATTCACAGATAACCGTTCGAGCTGGCAGGGCTAGAATTCGGGGTTTTGCTCAGGGGTGGTTGCAGCGAGAGTTCCTGGGCGCGGAGTCAGGACCCCTGTGACCCGGAGGAGGGAGCGGTCGGTGGACTGGGGCGCATCCTAGTGCTTCGTGTTTTGCATCATCCATTGAGGCGCACTCGGTGAGAAATGCAGGTGCTGCAAGGAGGGGAGGAGGGGCAGGGCTGGAGGTAATGACAGGGTGTGCGGAAAGTGTGCTCCTACCTGGTCATTATGCAGGGCCCCAAAAATCCTTACTTGGTTCCTGGAGCCACGCAGACTGGTGGGCAGAATTTAATTCTCAAGGACCTGGCCAGAACCTATCATTATGGATGAGGTGGCCAGGAGCGGTGATGGGTGGGGGGGTGGGCAGAGCGAGGAGGGGTGGACAGCTAGCTGGAGGTGTCTGCTGCTCTCTGGTCCACGGTCCTGCCTTCTTGGACGGGGAAAGCTGGTCTGGGGCAAAAGATGCCAGGCTTTGCGGAGAGGCTCCTGCCAGTGAGAGTGTGTGGACTCGGCCATGCCCGCTCATCCTTACTTCCTAACTATGTCACAGCCCCGGGGCAGCCAACCTCTTGCCAGACTGAAGAACTTGGAAGGGGGATTGCTGGAGCCATAGCACAGCCGGTGGAGTTTGCCTCGCATGGGGCGACCTGAGTTCGATTCCTCCGTCCCTCTCAGAGAGCCCGGCAAGCTACAGAGAGTATCCCGCCCGCGGGGCAGAGCCTGGCAAGTTCCCTGTGACATATTTGATATGCCAAAAACAGTAACAACAAGTCTCACAATGGAGAATGACGATGGAGGCAGGGACCTTTAACGCAAGAGATGTTTTTATACATTAAAACTCTGACAACACCTAAGTTTTGACTGAGAGTTGCAATGTGTATTCTAAATGAGGAGAAAAACCGCCCTTTGGCAGGTCCACACAGACCCAGACTCAACACCAATTAAAAATTTTTTGAAACGGTTTCTGTTGAATCACCGTGAGATACTCAGTTACCAGCTGTTCAGGTTGAGTTTCAGTCGTACAATGTTTTTACACCCATCTCTTCATCAATGCACATTTCCACCAGTTTCCCCAATTTCCCTCCTGCCCAGCCCCCAGACCGAATTTTAAATTGTAGGATTCACATTTGACTGAGAATTCAAATGGAATCGAATTCTAATTTGAACGAGAGTGTTAGGCACATGAAGTGATTTAAGACTGACCTGTCATTTTCTACTGAAACTGATGCCAGTTTGCACTTGGTGAAATTCTTCCATGCAGGATGATCATCCTTTTTGCTTTTATGGAGAGGGTGTGGTTAGGCCATACCTAGTGCTCTGGGCTATTCCTGACTTTGTGTCCAGGGATCACTCCTGGTGGGCTCGGGGAACCCTATGGGGTACCTGGATTGAACCCAGGTAGCCTGCGTGCAAGGCAAGTGCCCTACCCACTGTACTGCCTTTCCTGGCCTTGCCTCATGAGTGGTGGGCACATTCTGTGCCTCATAGTAAAGGAATCCCACCCTACTAGACTGCCCTTGCCCTCATCTTCCTCTGACCTCTGTGAGTGGAAAACTACAGGAGGATACATGTTCCCAATGAGGAAAAACCCCCATTATGTTCTCTTGTCCACTGTGGACTAACAACAGGCAATTAGTGGACTCATCTAAGATGTCTTTGTTGTTGACTTGTTTGGGGTTCACACCTGGTGGTACATAGGGACAATGCTTGGGGTCACTCCAAGGTACTCAGGGGACCATGTGATGCCTGGGATCATGCCTGGGATTGAACCCAGGGCTTCCCTCTACCCTCTGAACTATCTCCCCGATATACCTAATAGCTCTTAATACCATGTTTCAGAAATAAATACACTTTTAGGGAGTTGAGCTTCGCAAAAGCACAGTCTCTTATAGTCTTTAAAAAAAAAAAGCGAGTTTGTGCATGTTGGAGACCTGGATCAAGCCGGGGTACCACATGGCTTCCTGAGTACCACTGGGAGCCGTCCTTAAGCATTGAGGGGGAATAGCCTGGAGTTCCACATGTCTCCAAACCAAACAAACAAACAAACAAAAAGATAACTAGTTTGGGGTTGTTAAAAAATCCCTCTTCTCTTCTAAAATTAAAAGCAAAATTAATGTACGCTATTGTCAATTACTTCAGAGGGAGATGCACTTGGCCATCATTTGAGCCACAGTTGGATCTGATGGTGTGTAAAACAAAACAAAACAAAACATCAACAGGAAGATCAGGGTCTGTCGGATGGCATGCACTTGTTTGAAACCAGAATGAGGAAGGGGCAGTGACTCAGAACTAAGTACTCTGTAGGGTTGTCTACCATAACCTCCACCCTTTCTATGCAAATCACTAACTGTCCATTCATCTTAAATTCTATTGTCTGTTTCTGTGGCTCAGAACCTGCAGATACTACACTTGCAGAGCAATTTAAGTATGATTTTAAGAAGATGCATTAGGGGCTGCGACTTTCTTGATGCCTTAGGGAAAAACATTCTTCTCCAACACATATAGTTTGAATTTATGTATGTATGTGAGAGAGATGTTTGAAAAACAGTATTGTGGAAAATTTCTAATGTACTCTAACACCAAAATGAAACCTCATATAAATCCTTACTCGGCTCCAATAGTTATTTTTTTATATTTTGGATTTTTACTTATTTTACAAAGTTGTTCATGATTGGATTTCAGTCTTACAGTATTGAACAAATAGTAGAAAATGTCATTTACCTCAAATTTCATGAATGTATTCCCGAAGGGATCAGAGGAATCTATCATTCTTTGTCTGTTTATAGTTATTCTGTGGGTACTTATTTATTAGATTGCCGTAGATAAATATGTCATTCATAAAGATTTTGTAATGTAGAGCTTCTTCTAAACTTCAAGGTCATTTCAATCAGAATTATTCTAACCTCTCACGCCTGTGGATTCACACAGGTGTGGAATTTTCTGCATTCCAGTCCATGGAGTAGCAGTTATAACCAAGGAGGTAGACTGGTATTTTTTATTTTTCCTATATCTTCGAATCCAATAGTTATTTCATCTGTACCTCTTCCTCCCCCCTGCTACTGGCCCTGTGTGTTCTGAGAAATCCAGAAGAATGTCCATCAAGTAGGGAAAGGGAAAGGGACTTGATGCTTTTTGGTGGTGGTGGTGGGGGGGCATGGTGTCAGGCCACACCTGGCAGTGCTCAGGGCTTACTCCTGTACCTAGGGACACTCTTGGTAGGGCTTGGGGGACCATATAGGATGTTGGGCACTGAAGCCAGCTTGACCGTGTGCAAGTGTCCTACCTGATGGACTATCGCGCTAGCCTAGGATTAGATCCTTATTCTACCTAGTCCGTTTGTCAGATTATTTTTCCGTATTTTTAAAACAAGACTTAGGTACCACATCATTTCATCTGTTGAAAGTTCATTATGTCTTTGTTTTGAAAAAATAATATAAGCAGAATAGTTTAGACATGACTGGGAGACATGAAGAAACGTCCACCTTTAACATTTTATTATGAAAACTTTAAATGTAAACAACTGTAGTATTATAATGAACCACCATTGACCCATGATCCCACTTCAGTAGTTATCAACAACCGGTCTCTTGATACCTACACCCTTTCCTTCTTAACACACACTGGATTATTATTATTATTTAAATTAAATCACCGTGAGATGCAGAGTTACAAAGTTGTTCATGATTAGGTTACAGTCATACAATGTCCCAATACCCATACCTTCACCAGTGTACATTTCCTACCACCAATGCCTCAGTTTCCCTCCTGCTACCCTGCTACCCTCCCTCCCAACCTGCCTCTATGGAAGGCACTTTTCTTCTCTCTCTCTCTCTCTCTCTCTCTCTCTCTCTCTGTAGGGTTGTCTACTATTAAAAGCAAAATTAATGTAGCTATTGTCAGTTACTTCAGAGGGAGATGCACTTAGCCATCATTTGAGCCACAGTTGGATCTGATGGTGTGTAAAAAAACAAAACAAAACATCAACAGGAAGATCAGGGTCTGTCATCCTAGCATGCACTTGTTTGAAACCAGAATGTGGAAAGGGCAGTGACTCAGAACTAAGTACTCAGAACTCTCTCTCTCTCTCTCTCTCTCTCTCTCTCTCTCTCTCTCTCTTTCTCTTTTGAGCATCATGGCTTGCAGTACAGATACTGAAAGGTTATCATGTATATCCGTTTACCTACTTTCAGCGCTCAGTTCTTGCCCAGAGTGATCATTTCCAGCTATCATTGTCACAGTGGTCCCTTCTCTATCTAACTTCCCAGGACTGGATTAGTCTAACGCAAATCTCAGGTTAACACAATTTCAGCCATTAAATATTTTAGTATGTATTTATAAAAAAAAAAGGACTTAGTAAGACATTATGTTTAATTTAAAGATAGCTAAGCTGGGAATTTTTAATATTTGCGAAAACCATTTGAGGTGGGGTGGTTTGTGCTGCACTTGGCAGTGCTTAGGGCTTAGGGCTCC